TTGATGAGGAGGTTTTGATGCAAACAATTTTTTTTCTCCTAATCTTCCATCGTCCCTTCTCCTTTTCATGGTGAGTTCATGAGTTTAAAATAGAACCAAAAGCTTATCTAGGCTCAATTTGTTAATACTTTTTTGCCATTAAATTGCGATCGTTTAGCATCTTATGATCTTAGTAAACACCTAAGAATTTTTCTCACCAATTCGTCATTAATATAAATTTTTCTAAGAGACATTAATTATTATCTATATCGCTAAATTTAGAAAATATGTCCGTAATATACTCATTTGCATGCATTCTAAATATTCATAATGAAGCACTAATGACTTTGTTACAAATTTTTTCACATGATTTCCCCCCTCACATGTTACTTATAACTCGTCCCAAATCTCTATGGTAGATTTGTAAGTTGATATCCCATTGTATTCATTAACATCAACCCTGCAATATAAAGTATTCATTGCTTTAATACTTAATTGGACTAACTTTTACTATTGTCATCCAATCTATCTTTTAATTTAACTATCACTTGATCTCCTACTCTGTTGGAGGGAATGTGGGGTCCTTTTACAATGACTCTTTAAATAGCATAATTTGTAGTTTAAATGAATATTCTTATTCTTGTCTTTTAATAGTATAATGATTTCCATTTAACAATAAAGGTCTACTAGAAGATTGTTCCTCACTTAAGTAGTCATCAATTATTGTTACTCCAGACAATTAAGTCTCAAATAAGAAATGAAGCCCAAGTGACCAAAACAACTCAAGATGGGGAAAGGGGCAAATTTAGATTTTTTAATTTTTTAATTTCTCAACTTAAGAGACATAATAAATGAGATATCTAGTCAGAGATAATAAATGCAACTCTTAATAATATGACCTACAAAAAAGTATACAAAACTTTAAATACAATGAAAAATAAAGGAGTTAAAGAAATAGCACAAACATTATTTTTATAAAGATTTTGGGAATAATCTTGCTCCTATGTCCTCTCCCCAAACCACTACCTAAGTATTTTAGTAAGCTTCAACAAACTTTCTATGAATGCTAGTCTATAGGGGCTAGCTTCACTTTCATAAAATTTCCTTTATATTTCATAAGAGTTCCTTTTTTTTTTTTGTTACAAGGGACAATAAATAAATACAACTAGTGAAAAGGATCACATATAGGTGTTACACATAAGAGTTCCTTTTTAGAAAGGCAAAAATTCCCTTTAGGCTTTATCAGTCCTTTTTTTACCCAAAGAAAATAGATGAGAAAATTTATAATATATTCTATCTTGTAGAGTAGATAGTAAAATGAGTACAAAATTTTCTCACTTGAAGAGTCGATAAATAAGATGAGGTACAAAAATAATCAAAAACTAGGCTCAAGAGTAAAGACAAAAAGATTATGCTCAAATATTCAAATTTTCCTTAAAGGTTGAATAAATGTGATGGGTGAGTGTAACATAGAGTGCAAGAAAAGCCACTACTCAAATTAAGAAATTCCAGGGATGCATTCTTAAAATTGTCGTGTGCATTATTGTGATGAAGTTTTCATCACATCTAGAATCACAACAATTTTTCACTACCTTAAGTAAAATGTTACGCGAGACAAAGAGATCATCATATCACATTTATCACTATTTAGTCCAAAAGTATTATATGTGATGAAGAGATCATCACATAACATTCTCCGCTTCCAAAAAAAAAACAATTTTGTCCTTCAAAATCTTACAATTTTTATTTTATTCACAACTTTGTTTCAAAGATATCTTTATTTACCAACTAATATTTGAAAATTTTGCTAAAAAACTGTCTAAATATATTTTTAAACATAATTTTCTTGAGCCTTGATTTTTTATTTACCTTTTACAAGTTTGGGCAATTTCGTTAATACTCTCTAAATCTTAGTGGTTTCTTTCTTTTTCCAAACATATGTTGAAAACTTCCAGCTCCTTGCTCATCTTTCAAAACTTGATGAACCAAGTAATTCGAAAACTCATAAGTTATTGTTAGCAAGAGTTAATGGTTATTATTTAACAAAAAATTATTATTTATCTTTTTCGACGTTTTTTTAAAAAAATTATTTATATATAATATATTTATGCTTTAAAAAAAAACTATCTTGATCCTCCACCACTCACAATAAAAAGTTGCCCCAACCCTTGTCTGTTTGTCACACTCAATGTAGTTCATTGCATGACTCACCTTAACTTACATCTAAACTCTACTTTGGACTTCATGGTTCATAAGTCGCATCATAAAGTTGTGACGCGTTGCCTGCTTTTAATCAGACATCTCGAATCTCGACTGCATCTTTTTACCTCTTGCTTTCAAGATCCATTAATTCTTTACATCATATGATATTAGTATATAATATTTATAATCGATTAATCACAAACTTATATTTAAAAATTTGAGATAGTATATAGTATTTAGTGTTCTATAATTGATATTGGGATATGGTTTTGGCTTTCGTTTGTATACATGTTCATGCTCTTATTTTTACTTAGACAACTAAATGGGTTCCACGACCAAATTTTATGTGTCCTGTAAACCCAACAAAACACAACTAGATTATAATTGTTGATTTATGACATTTGGAAAAAAGAAATTATGATATGTATTGAATTTTCTATTTAAAATATAATTAATCAAGATTTTTTGATGGATTTGATTTTGGTTTCAAAGGTTATGTTAGTGTTTATGGTTAGTTTATATAGTTCAATTTCACTTTTTAAAATTTTCAAATCGAATCGACTAAAAACTCACCCTTACATATGATTATAATTTGTTAAAAGACATCAAAATGTATTTCAGCTAGAAGAAAGAATAATTCAATCATAAGATGTTGGAAAGAGAATTGTTGAATTAGCACTTATGCTAATCACTTAAGATAGAGGAAGAAGCCAGAAGCACAATAGTGAAACAAAAAAGCATGAAAAGAGAAGGAGCAAAATAAGGAGTGCTAAGAGAAAATCAATGTCATCATCATCAAAAGATAAATTTCAAATTTGTTTTAATTTGCAACATGGCCTTGTTGATTAATTCTTTTTTTACATGGGAATCTTTTTAATTTTTCAATGTTTAATTTAGATATCATAAATGTTATCATAAACTTAATGTGTTAATTAGTATTATATTGTACCCTCTCAAGAATGATATAGATTTTATTAAGTTATGTTATTCACGAGTTTTTTTATTTTTAGAAAGAATATGCATTTATTTTTCCAATACTTATCAAAGCCTAATTACCTTTTAGTTCATCTATTATGTGTTAATAAGATTGAAAGAAGAATCTATATTATAGACTTTGAAAACACATACCACAAATTAAAAGAAATGCATAAATGTACTAACTTAATTCATACAATAGGGATGGTTGATTAAAGCTCTTTGCTTAAGTTAAAGTCTTTCATAAAACTTAATTTGTTTCTATTTATTTCACTCTATTTTCATATACATTAAATTAATAGACAAAAATCGATTTAATATATCTAGAGAAAAATATTAATTACAGTTGAAAGTTCCACTATCTCCTTATTAGCATGTCTTCTTGATAGCATTTTTAGTTGAATTCTATATTAGTTGGGTTAGATGTGCTATTTGTCTCCGTGCTTTTTATTTTGATTGACTTTGTTGAGCATTTTATTAATTCATCTTGACTCAATTTTTTAAATAACAATAGAGTTAGTAATAGTTTGGTACTTGTTTATTTTCAATCTTTTTGTCAATATGTTATTCATTTTCTATATTATATCACCAATTCGTGCACTTACCATAAGTTCACTCACACCGATTCATCATGGTCTCATTTGTTTTAAAAGTTTATCTTGATATAATTCAGTCATTCAATTTAAAGATTTACTTTAATTTATGATATATTCAAACAAATATGAACTCGATTCATATAAATATAAAATTTTTTGAAGATAACAATAATTCTTCATATTTTAATATTTTTATAAAAAAAATTTATTAAGAATCAATTTCTAAAAAAAAGAATTCTATAAGTTCAAAAAATAGAATGAATGTTTGGGTTGAATCGCAAGAGAGTTGATAAATTCAAGCATTAAATTGGTAAGACCTTATAACATAATATTTGAATTGAATTCTCCATGATCAATGGAAGATTTACGAGGACCTAATTGATTAATTAATTGACTTGTAAATACAAAATTTTGTACATGAATTGTCACTTATTATATTTTATATTTTTGTTTTAAAAAAGTAATTAAGTATCTGTAGTAATTTAATTTAATTTTAAATAGAAAATTAAAGAAGTGCTTTTTGATTGGTAAGATGGTATTAATGAGATCTTGCACTCCACTCAACTTTGGTATATGTTTTTAAAAGAAAAGAAAAGAAAATAGTTTTGTAAACGTACATAATATATGATGATTTGAGTTTGTCAAATTGATTTTCCACGACAAAAATCTTCCTCATGTATACCACTCTTGAGGCCATGGTTTCTTCCCCCAACCCTTCATTTTGTCAATACCTACTATTTGGACAATAAAACAAATTTTCACTTTCGGCTATATAAATTTCATATATATATATATCTTTGCTTATTATACTTCACACATCCGATTTAAAATTTTCTTCTTTGTTTTGCTAATTAAAATTAATTTAATTTTTTAATTTAAAATTATCTTCCAAGTATAAGAACAAAGTTATACACCCAATTCAATTTATACAATTTTAATAATTTATTATTAAATAATTATAAGACGTTTAGTTACAAGGAAGACAGAAAGAAGAGTCCAAAACTGTAATTTAAATAATTAACTAATCACAATCGAGAATTTAATCACAAAGCAAATAAAAAATTAAATTCCCAAAAAAAAAAGGAAAGATTTTTACTCACGGCCGTATTCCAAAATCCGGCACCGGCCGGCCCATTCTCGGCAAGATGTGAACCGCCACAGCTTCCAACCCCGACGGAGACTCCACAAACCAGACCCTCGCCGGCGCCGCCGTCACGTCAATAGCCAGAATCCGTCCCACGCCGGTGACTGCGCAGACTCTTCCACCACCAGCAGCAATCTGCTGCGCTCCTTTCAAACTTTCCGATTCCATAATCTCTACCCACTTATCTTCCTCCTCATCGTATTTTCTTAACGCCCCTTTGACCTCATCCACCGCGTACATAGTCTCCTCATCCATGGCGGCAACCGGACCTTTCCACCCAGCAATCATTCCTTCCGGCATCTTCTCCCATGAATCACTCTTTATATCGTAAACAACGCCTTCTTTCGCGGCGTCCCCTTTTACATTCACCATACAGAGTTTCCCTCTCCAGCCCACAGCGTCAATCGCGTCTCTGCTGAACCTCCCGTCTTTCAATCCTCTGATCTTCTCCCACTTCCATCCCGAATCAATATGATTTTTCTTCTTGTTCGAGGTTTTCTGCAGCACCCATCTCTCAACCGAACGGGCGACGTCGGAGGAGAAATGTGATCCGATCCCGCTGGCTACATAAACGACGCCGTTTGAAGTTCCGGCCGCGCACCACCGGCGGGGAGCGGCGAGAGGAGGGCCGAAAGACCAAGAACGGGAGACGGGGTTGAAGATGAGAGGACGAGGGAAAGCTGGAAAGAAATCATGAGTTGTGGCGGCCAAAAGCACGAGATTGCCCGAGACAGAAATGGATTGAACAGGGAAGTTCCGGGAAAGAAAAGAGGGGTGACGGAGGAGAAGGCGGAGCGGCGGATCCGGCGGCGGCGGGGGCAGAGGTTCCCAGGTGGAGGACATGGGATCGAAAGAGAAGAAGTGGATGGGATGTGGGTTTGGTGAGGATGATGAGAAAAGCGCGTAAAGAGAGAGGAAAGGAGGGAAAGAAGGGGAGTAGATGAGGCGACGCCATGAGAGACAGACAGAGTAGAGGAGAGAAGGATGAAGATGAGAAAGACAGAGTTGAGCAACGTGGTCAGGGAGGCCTGGCAATAGAGGCTGCTGCTTAAGATTGTTGTTTGAAAGCTTTTGGCGCTTGACAGAGGACATGGGATTCGCCATGGATGAGATGAAGTAGAAGATGGAGGAGGAGGAGGATGAGGGGGAGGCGAGGTGTCCGCTGGTTTTGATGAAAAGTTGTCTTATAACTTTTTGTTTTTATGATATTAATTTAATAATTTCATTTAAAAAAAAAAAAAGAAAAACAGAAAGAGAAAGCTGCAAGAAGCATGGCATGCGGAAATCTGAAGATGGAGGATTTATGAGTGTCGGACATAATAAAAGGCAAAAGTGTTTTCTTAAAAATATATATATTTACTATATGTTACATATATTTATCTTAGTTTACTTAAATCTCTAATTTAAATTCATTGGTTACAAAAGGCAAAAGTGTTTTCTTAAATATATATATATATATTTACTACATGTTACATATATTTCTCTTATTTTACTTAAATCTCTATTTTAAATTCATTGGTTACAAAAGGCAAAAGTTGGATATGGTTCATTGACACTTTCCTTGAATTATCTAACGAAAATTATACTCCATTTTTCATTTTTGAACCATTATTTAATCAATATTAACAATAACATGTTTTCTTAAAATACAATTCTTCATATATAATTTCTATTATTATATTTTAATATCTAATATTTATATTATTTAACATATTGTCACTAATTTTAAGTAATCAAAATTTACAATGAATTTAAAATTATCATAAACGATTAACAAATGTTTTTAAATATTAAGATTTAAATTTTGGCTTTCATTAATTTTATTTTGCTTTATATTAAATGTTTTTCAAGAAAATCAAATGTTCTTATCATAAGTACTAGATTATGCACATAGGAAACTAAAAGATCATATGAAGACATCCAAATAGATTGTCTAGAAAAATGTACTAATATAGAACATTGAATTCAAATAATTTAAAAATCTTAAAGTTATATAGAATAGTCAATTTATACTTTTTATCTTATTTTTCACGTAAAATAATACGAAAATAGAAAAAGAATTCCTTACTTTCGCCAGGGATCATCGTTCTATTAGAAAGTGAAGATACCTATGCTTTATTTTGTAATATTCGGGTCCGAAAATCGGTCCAAAATTATTTTTTTATTATTTTATTTATAAAAAAATTATAAAAATAATTAATTTAATTTATTTTAGTTTAATTCTATGGAATTTTTTTAGAAAAAATGAATTAGCAACGAAATTAAAAATAATTTTGAAAAAAACATGTGAAATTTTGAATTCGATAGGTGTCTTTGAAAGAAAAATTGAAAATAAAGAATTAAAATGCAAAAAGGTAAAATTTTCTCCTCCCCACTCAGAATTCAATTCTGAGCCTCCCTGTGGCCATATCGGAGCAAAAGGGGGCGGTGGGTGAGCCGAAAACTGCAGGTAAAGCCCGATGGAGCTGCTGCGACCAAAACTCTAAACCCTCTCTGATGACTCCCTTCTCGTTTTCCGTTTCACATGATTATTTGACCATTGTATTCATCGTCTCTTTTTGTGCTGGTTAGCCAAAGAAGAAACCTCAGCCGTGAAGGAGAACCAACGGAACCGCAGCACCCGAAGACCTCCCGTCGGTAGGTTCGATTTTTTTATTTTTCTAGCCAATTGAGGTTTTCTAATGTATTTTTTTGTAGATATACGTGTAAAACTAGCCAAAACTGGACAAAACCGGTTAGACTGATGCGAACTGCGGCCGTGAGCAGTTGAGCCAGCGCCGTCGTGCCAGAACCCTAAATTGGTCGAAAAGAATTTTCAACACCGATTTTGAGTTTTTGAGATATTTTTTGGTATGTGACAAGTATTTTAATTTCTGTACGAAAAATTTAGGAAATCCGGGACTCGTCAGGAGGCGTAATGGGTAGCACAACGTTTCGAAACACCGATCTGGGTAAGAATCTCTCACTCTATTCTCTGTTACAATAAATTGAGGCTTAATAATTAATAATCTCATGTTCTGTGAAAATTAAAAAAAAAAATTAAGAATGATTACAGGCCACTAGTGGAGCCAGAAATTGGTCAGTGTATGATTGTTCTAACTTGTCTGTGTTGTCTATTTATCTTTTCTATACTGTCTAAATTACTTATTATCCGTTGTGTGCTTCAAATTTTTACTTCAAATTATTTCTTGTTTACTGATTGTGTTGTCTAATCGTGATTTTATTGATCTTATTGATGGATTAAAAATAAAGGTCCTGATTACGTGTCTTGATTGTTAAACTGTATTGCTTGCTTAGATGTTGTTTAAATTAATCTGTGAATATAAAATAAGATGTTGATATGCGATTGGTGGTTGTTTGATTGATGAAAATCTATATATAAAAAACTTACTGGGAACCATGGAAAAAGGTGGACGAACCCGGTACATAAGGAACTCTATAGTGGATATTACTTCAGTCGGGCGACGCTCAGAGGTCCCATACTGGAAGGATTTGAAAGATATGGTTCACTCTCATACCAGACAGGATATCGAGGTGATGGTGTATTTGACGCCTATTACCAAATGAGATATAAGGATGACTAGCTTAATGGTCAAATTTAGATGCAAAGTTTACGAATAGGGGGATATCCCTATGGAACCCTAGGGGTTCCAGTAAGTAGGTTAAAGGGTAGAATTACTGATTTTGTTCACTTATACATGAAATTAAAATGTTATCTGGTTACTTTTCTTCATAGATTGATTTTGAAAAATTTACACCGTTAAGTATGGAATAAATATTTTAAAGCTAAATGAATTTACTTAAATAAATGGTTTTATTAGTTGTTTTGTGATTTTTACCAACTTTTGATTTTTCGTATTAGTGATTAGTGTGATATCTTCATTGGGTTAATGTAGCTCACCCTTTTATTAAGCATTTCAGACAAGAAAATTAATATTCAGATCCCAATCAGTAAAAGAGTTATGAGTAGTTCACATCTCGAACTCCCTTCAAGTGCTAATAGAGAATAACCCTCTAGGATATCTATTTTTCTATTTTTAATTATCATTTGATTCTTATAATCTTATTGAACATTCTAATTTACTATATAATGAATGTAAACTCTAACTTTATTGTTCGTTTCTGCATTTAGATAATAAATTTTTTTCTTTTAGTTCGGGTCTTTATATGTTTACTTTAAATATAGAAAAAAAAAGTAGTAATGCAAAAATAAAGTGAAAGAGAAAAAATTTAATAAAGAAATAAATTAGAGAAAAGAATTAAAAAATATTGATTCAAACTCTTTTATAGTAGAGTCAAAGATTTGAGATGTTATTTCTTGGATAGAATCAAGTATACTAAAATTTTTGACTAGTTATCTTTTTATTAGATGTTGGAAGGGTAATTTTCTGAGTAAAATTATGTTACTAATATTGAAATATATTTTTTTAAAAAAAAAAATCTATAAATTGAGGGTTTTGGAATTCTTAAATTACCACCAAAATCAATAATTTAGATAGGGATGTTCTTTTGTTGGACGAAAATATAGTTAACCTTTTCAACTTAAAGAAAGCATGCCTTTGTTTTGATTTAAGTTGTTATTTTATTTATATTTTCTTGTTTAAAATTTTCATTATTATTATTAAAACTTTTGTAGAGACTTAAAATATTTATTTTTTTAATATGTGGAAATAATATACTTAATTTTTTAATAGAGAATATAAACATTATATACTTAACATGTTGGAATTAAAAATTATAATGATAGATGATAAACAAATTATTTATTAAAAAAAAAAAAATGTTAGTGTTGACTCAATGGGCAAATAGTAAAGTAAAAAAGTTGATATAATGTAAAAATCCTGTGGCGGGTAACATAAAAGAAAGTACGCGAGCGAAATAAGGTCCACGTGGCATGAGTTGGGCCCACTGAATCAATAATATAGGAGGAACCTCTTAATAAACCCAGTAAAAAGGTTTGGTTGGAGTGTATTTATATTTTAGTTATTGATGGAGTAAGTAAAAAGCAATATTATCATAACTTTATTAAATTCCAAAAGTGGACGGTTGAAGTAGTTGGCCCTTAATATGCTCTCCCCCACCCAAATTTCCTACTTAATTTTCTTTTTTCGTTTTTTTATTCCCAAAAATCTCTAATAAATTAATTTCATTTCTATAATCTAGTTATTTTAATTATAGAAAGGATACATGTCAAATTTTATATTTTGTAAAATTTTTCTTACTCTTTTTAGTTTATGTGTAGAGTATAATTTCACCTAACTTTATTTTATTCTAATTTAATATATTTTATTCTATATGAACTCTTTCGTATTTTAGAGGGATTTTGTCTCTATATGCAATTCGAATCTTGGTCTCTACTCACTGTTTCAATTGCACCATACCCCATTATAACCTCTCTTCTTTTCACCTTACTACACTCGTTTTCTCAAGCTCTTCTCATCTTTTTTTTTTTTCCTAATTCTCATAGCCTCTTCTAAACTCTTTCTCATCTTGATTACCAAAGAGATAATTATCGCGCGATAACTTGAAGATAATATCTAAAACAAATGGAGTTGTAATTTACAGGAAAAATTCTTTCTCCTAAGCCTATGCCTATTCAACTACTACATCAAATAGTTATAAATATATGAAATTCTCCCATAATTACAGATAATTTCACTTATCTAATTTAACACTTTTATTTTCATATTTTCTCACCCAGTGTTCAAGCATAACATCTTTTAACATAGTCTGTGATCTACTAAAACCTTGTACTCATTATACTACTTTAGATAAGATTCACTTTTCTATAAGGAAAGTTTAGATTTGTATTAAGAGTCCCCAAGGAGGCATGATGTCCATTTATGATGCTACCTAGATCAAGGTAAATAATTGTATGGTTTTTTTAGTGAAGCCTAATTTTTCTTCCGGCTCGCAACATACTTTGGAGAAAGGATAGTTCTTATTTAGCAAAGTGTGCTTCTTATATTATACATGACATTATCTAATATGTTTTATCTAGTCTAAGTACCCCATGTTGTTTTAGGTCCTTCCTCGATACCTATTCTCGCTAATAATGATGTTACCTTGCTCTCGGTATTGCATGTACCCCTATACCCTCATCCACCACACCCACAATTCTCTCATTCCCTCTGTCTCCATTAAATACCTCATCTAGCTTCCCTCTTCTCTTTTCACGTTTATTAGTCCTTCTAGTA